TTGTCAGCAGCAATCATAATGCTCAGTGGCAGGTCCACAGGTGTCTATGCAAGGACTAATTAACACCAATTAGGGAGCGGCTGAAAACTTCTAGGAGGCAAAAACATTTGACAGTCAATCTATGCTTATCAAGGTAAACCAGCAGGAAAATGAACTCATACAGCATTTATATTTTCCAAATAAATCCCTGAAGACAGATATAATTTTGATGTGATCCTTGCCAATAAAACTTAGCATGTAGTTAAAAATTATTGTGGTAATGTGGCCTTTGTTTTCCTTATGAAGTTAATTTCATGTCTTATTTCTCTGATTTGGATTTGATTGTTATATTTTTGAAGTTATTTACTTTTCTTGTTAGATGTAGCTTGGGTTGCTGTGTTGCATGTTTTTCTGATTTTGTTTTGAGGTGATGTTACCACTCATACCTGGAGACAACCATGGCAGAGGCACAGGTGTTCTCCATCAGCTAAACAGCGTACAGACCGGGAGGCCAGTAATAAAAATGCAGCTGTGCAGTTGAAGGGATTGAAGCCGGACAGAGCAGGTGAAGGAGCGGCAGATGGAAGGACTGGTTGCTGCGGAGTCTCCTCCAACTGTTTGTCGTCAGGGAACGGACAGGTGTTGGAATGTAAGTGCCCTACATTCTCATTTTCTCTATTTAGTGAATTTATTATTTTAAATAAATTATTGTAACTGGGGATACAGGGTTTAAAGCAGTGTAGAGAGAAGAGGTAACACCATTCAAACTCACAAGAAACAAGAGCTTTCGTCGGGTGCCTGCAGTCTGCAGGCCTCTGCACCACTCAGTCATTTTCTCATGTTAATGCACCATTAGAGAACTTTCTTCAGAGATCCATTGCACCTCCATGGCTAAATTTAATCTCTGCAGCATCGACTTATCTCTGAATATTTTGATGCCCAGCATTTATTGAGCAGAAGCACATTTTCTACCACAGGAGACTCTGTTTTTTCAGTGAACTGCAGGTTCATGGTGTTGAAAGCTGAACTGAAGTCCAGGAACAGCATCCGCACATGGGTGATCTTCTCCTCCTGGTGTGCCAGGCTCAGGTGGAGAGCAACAGAGATGGTGTCCTTGGTGGAGCGGTTCCATCAGTAGGCGAACAGGAATGGGTGGAATGTTGGCGGCAGACTGGAGACGATCTGTTCTTTAACCAGCCTTTTAAAGCACTTCATCATGACGGGAGTCAGAGCTACAGGCCATTGAGTGAGTTGACCTGAGGTTTTTTGGAACCGTAATAATGGAGGCAGACTTAAAGCATGCTGGCGCTATGCATTGGTCGGAAAGAATGAAAAGTGATTGAAAAAATGTTGTCTATCCATCCATTTGAAGTTTTGGTTGTTAGGTGGAAGGTGGAGTGGATGTATGACTCCTATTGTCTAATTATTAATTAGTATTTTAATTGTTAATGAAGATTCTCAGTCATTCAGGTCATAGTCATTCAGTAAAAGTTTAAGAACTGTGGATCCAGACATGAAACTCATCACATTGTCCATGCATGTTCTACTTTCAACTCATCTAAAACAGTCTTTTAACAAATACGTTTCACAAATCCAATAGACTTTCTGTCTGTCAGGAATGAAAGAAAGTTTCTTTGGTTACAAAGAATGAAACCAGACTACACTACTGAGTGAAAACAAGACAGTCTTTTATTTACAATGTCTTTATTGCCATTTTTCTGTACAAGTTATCCCACAACAAAATACAGGGAGGAAATGTTAAGTATCCTCTGGAGAACCACCAGACCTCAGCGATCATCTCTAACGCAGCTGACTTCTCTTCTTCACAACTCTAGAGAAGAGGAAGCTCAGCGCTACCAGGGCTTTAATCAGCTTCTCAGAGAGGCTGAAACAGCAGAAGGCTGGAAGATAGACATGGGCGGTTCTAGACAGGGGCCAACGGGGGCCATTGTCCCTGTGGATCATATCCTGGCCCCTGTACTGAAGACATAATACTCAAAGAAATTCTAATGATATTCACTGGAACAGACATGGTTACTGATAGGTCCTTTGGATCTATTTCATTTTCTTTCTTTACAAATTCTGTTTGACTAATTATTTAAAAACAATAAGGTTATAGCTTCAGTGCTATTGAGATAGGATCCCAGTTTACATTTGCTAAATGTTTTTTTTCAAAACAAATAAAAAAATTCTAATTTTTACAGCTGATTTTATCAGTTG